CGTTCACACTCATAAGTGAGAGGTAAACAATGAGAAACATGGACCCAGGGAGGAGAACAACACACACCAGGGCCTGTTGAGGGGTTGGGAGTGAGGCGAGCAAACTTAGATAATGGATTAATAGGTGCAGCAAACCACCACAGCACACGTATACCTATGTAACAAACCTGCACATTCCGCACAGGTATCCCGGAATTTAAAGCAAAATAAATTAAAAAAAAAAAATCAGTTATAACACACATTAGCATGGATGTGGAAAAACTAGAACCTTAACATATTCCTTGCGGAAATATAAAAAATGTGCACGCACTTTGGAAAATAAAAACAGGCAGTTTCTTCAGATGTTAAACATAATATAACACACAATGCAGAAATTCTACATCTAGAGAAATCAAAACATATTTACATACAAAGACTTTTACATCAGTGTTCAGAGCAGCATTATTCAAAATAGCTAAGAAATGCAAACAACCCAAATGTCCATCCATTGGTGAATGAAAAAAGTAAATGCTGGCCAAGATGCTGTGATATAACAGCCATTCTGCTCACTTTTATTTAAATATTTCTAAACAATAATTTTATAAATTCAAACTACCTCTATACTTAGCCCATGCTCAAGCTTTAAACATTAATTAGTCCAGTCGTACAAATCTGTAGCCACTTAAAATGCTCATAACAAGCTTTCCCACAGTGCAAATGATTTTTTAATGGGAACCTTGTATACAATCCATTTCTAACTCTAATTAGATTTATCCAGGGAAAACGCCACTGGTTAAGTGATATACCTAATGCTAGCTAAACAAAATGTTAATATGCTCTATGTGGTGGAATACCGTTCCATCTAAAAAGCATAATAACTAACATTAATAAGAAATTGGAAATCTGTAATTTTGGTTGTTATTCACAAATTATGCATTTTGTTCTATTTATAGACAAACATCCTGTTCACAGGGACAACAGCAATATCTTCTAACTTGTAGTCTCCATATGCACTAACGTAAATGCAGTGCATAAGAATTAACATCTTTATTTTGCTTGGATATATAAAGAAAAATCATTATTTTCACAAGTGAAGTAATGAAAGTCTTAAGTATTAAGCAGATTACACATAAAGTCATCTCTCATTTATGAGCTATAATTTGATTATATCTATTGTTAATGGGTAACACACAGCATCTTATAGCTAAGCACTATATTTTAACCTAATAATAGTAGCTATAACATTCTGAAATATGTCTCATGAATCAAAGCCATAATGCGTGCATTGAGGGTTTGGTCTAGCACTTCATGAGATCTAGATCTATTACAATCTGATGAAAGGGGACAAAGGAAGACAGGAAATCTTTTAAGCAGCGTAAAAATAAAAAAGCAAAAGACAATCATTTTGGAAGAATTCCTTTTCCCTGCTAAGTGGAACTTGTAGAGGACTACCAATGGTCTCCTTCATTTATCAATGGAATTTAATAGAGTAATATGTGCCCACCTGCAGTAACACAGCATGGCCCACTCCAAAGAAGCAACCAAGAGGCCAGGCTGACACTTTCTAATTCACTATAGAAGCAGAAAATAGAAGTCCCAAAAGTCACAAAAGGCTTTTCACAGATTTGGGGAAGAACAAGAGGGTTCCAAATAATTCATGAAGCTAAACTTAGCAAACACCTTGCAATTGCATGCTGAACAGAAAAATGATACACCCCTCACAATGGCCACAACATCACAGCACATCATTAATCACCACATGATGACTAAAAATCCACTTCCTGATTCATTTTAGGGAAAAAACATATCCACTTCTTAATTTATTTTGACACAGACTGATCATTATGCAGTTGGTATTTCCAATGAGGCTTTTTGAAGCATTAATTAGACATCCACTAATTGAGAAGCACAATAAGAGAGCACAACGATAGTTGATATACCTCCAGTGACTGTACAATTCCAAATCACACCATAGAGTGCTCAAAGAGAACAGTGACAGAACACTTAGGAAGGGGGCGATTAGAGGACTCAAGGAAAACTTTGCAAAGAAAATACTTCAGTTGGAAGGGATAGGAACACAAGACAAGCACAAGAGCACAAGGTAAGAAATGTACTCCAGACAGAGAAAACTCTACTAAACAACACCAAAGGCACCAAAGAGCCTGCACAGAGTGGTGGTATGTTCCCCACCACTGGAACATAGCAGATGTTTCAAAGGCATGAAAAGGGATGATGCTGGAGGCAGGCAGAGTAGGAGATGTGACTGGACAAGGTGTGGAGGGAATAAAGGTTCAAAAGGAACAACACTTGGGATAAAGATCTCATAAAAAGTAGGTCAATTGGACCTTGAAAGACAACTCCTCCTAATACATGGAACATCTAGCGGCTAGTATACAAACTATTCTGAATCCCATAGAGAGAGAACAGCATAGAAATTTAATGTATTTTCACATTCAATGGGGGAAAACAATAGCTGCTAATCAGTACAACTGTAAGTCAAAACATGCCAAAGGACAATCCGCATCACTCTAGGACCCTAGAAAATGCTATGGCTGCCATCTGAAGGGACTGAGTGCATCAACAACAAAAGAAGTCCACTGTCTGCAGTGCTGGTGGCTGAACGCCATCCTCCGCTGAATGTTGCATCTTCTAGAGCTCTGATGTCCAATCTGGTAGCCAGTAGCCTCCTGTGTGTATATAAATTTAAATTAATTAAAATTAAATAAAATTTAAGGCCAGATGCAGTGGCTCACACCTGTATTCCCAGCACTTTGGGAGGCTGAAGCAGGTGGATCACTTAAGGCCAGGAGTTCAAGACCAGCCTGGCCAACAGAGTGAAACCCCATCTCAAAAATAAAATAAATAAATAAATAAATAAAATTTAAAATTTGATCCCTTAAGTGCACTAGCAATATTTCAAGTGCCCAGAAGCGCTGTGTGACTAGTGGCTACAATAATGAACAGTGCAGGTATGCACATTTCCTTCACTGAAGAAAGTTCTATTGGCAGTACTGTCCTAGAGTCACCACTGCAGGAGGAATAGGCAAAAATGCCATAGGGGCAACAAGTAACACTATAAACTTAATCAGATTACCTAGCATTGAACTGGGAACACACATGCATATTAGATCCATGTTCACCAAATTAAATTTTAATATTAAACAAAGAGTGGTGAAAATGGGGTAGTTGTATATGCTCTACTCTGGACAAAAGCTAAGTATCTTCGCCCTGATTCCCTTAATAGACTCCACAACTGAGCTTTGCACCAGAGTTCTAAAAGTAACGGTATAGTACACAAATACTAATGACTTTATCAAGAAGAATACAGCAAAAAAAAAAAAAGAAAAAAGGTTAGCGTAGCTTACTTACCACAATAGGTGTCTTCCAAAATAGTTACAAGAAAAACAAATGACATTTTACACTGTGAAAGTGAAGCTTATCATTTGATGGAATCTCATGAAAAACCAATCTACATAGAGATTCATCATGTCTTAATTTATCTAGCTGAGATGTCAGAAACTGGACTACTATCTTTGATCTAAAAAATGCTAATTCTATGTTTCTGGAAACAATCACGAAAAGTTAAATTCCCTGGGGCAAACACTGACCAAGAGAAGACAGGTGTTGGGGGATACTCTCCCTTTTTTCTCTTCCAGGATGGAAGATCCTGAAACACATATATACTTACCTGGTTCAGACAATTTTATTCACAAGAATCTCAATGAGGAAAAGGAAGAGAACAAAACTCCAACAGAAAATGAGAAGAGAACTGAACAAGTACCTTACAAAAGAAGATCTCTCCTGCACTATCTCCATCTCACTAGTAATCAGAAAATATAAATCGATCAATTAGATATCATTAAATACTTAGGATACCAGGCAAAATTTAGGAAACCAACAATAGCAACATCCTGGATTGGAGTAACCTGCAATCCTGTACACTACTGTTCAAAGTCTAATTGGCAAAACAGCTTTAGAAAAACATCTGCATTATCTATTTAGGTTGAATTATATACATATCTCACAACCTACATTTCCAGTGCTAGATGCATGCCTGAGAGAACTGTTTGTCCATGTACACTTCAGATATGTACAAATGATGACAGTCACATTATTTTTAGTCACCCAAGTTGAAAGTAAACCAATGTCAATGTTCATATGAAAAAACTTACTATGAATACCAAAATTAATTTCTACATGGCAATAAAAATAAATAAACTACATATACACAGCATGAATGGATCTCACAAACATAACATTAAGTATAACTATTACTATAAAATACACAAACACGCAAAACTAAACTATCATATTGGGGGTATATATGGTATGCATCAAAACTATTTAAAGCAAGAACAAAAATCACAAAGATCGGGTTATCAAGATTACTCAGGAAAATGGTGATTTCTGGAAGGGGAGAGAAAGGCTAGAAATGAAATACAGAAGGCAGGGCACAGTGGCTCACACCTGTAATCCACACACTTTGGAAGACTGAGGAGGGCAGATCACTAAAGGTCAAGAGTTTAAGACCAGCCTGGCCAACGTGGTGAGACCACAGCTCTACTAAAAATTCAAAAAATTAGCTGGGTGTGGTGGTGCTCACTTGTAATCCCAGCTCCTTGGGAGGCTGAGACAGGAGAATCACTTGAACCCAGGAGGTGGAGGTTGCAGTGAGCCAAGATTATGCCACTGCACTCCAGTCTGGCAAAAGAATGAGACTTCATCTCAAAAAAAGAAAAGAAAAGTAGTTAAATAAGAAGAGTTTTTGGAAGGTGGTTAGGTGCTGTTTCTTTACCTGTAGTTTTATGGGTATTTTCTTTATAATAATTTATTGAGCTAAACATTTTTTGTATACTTTTCTATATGAATGTTATATTTCACACATATACACAAACAAAAACTCAAAAGAAAAGTGGTCTGCACACACATACACAAAATCCCTCTCATCCACAAGGTTAGGTAATCTCATTGTATTCCACTCTCAGCCACCTTTCAAATTCCTCTCCCTCATTTTAACTTACCTCTTGTACTGCTTTACTAGTTAATGATGAAGCACTGATATTTTCCCCTCCTTCATGATGGATCTGGAAATTCACTCTTTGATAAAGAATCTAAAACAAGAATAGGCTATGTGTAAAGGAGTTATGTTTTTATATTTGCTTTTCATCACAATATAAGCTTAAAATTTTAATAGTATTTTTAAGGACAAAATTACTATTTCATAATGATTAGTTTTGGTAACAGGCTTACTTCAGGACTTCACAAACAGGTTCAAAAGGATGCAACAGTTTCAGAAGTGGGGATCAAATGTGAAAAAAACTGACACACAATGTAATGAATTGTTACAGGCAGTATACATGTTCCAGTCTGGAGCAATTTCAATTCTTACCTCCTCAGAAGAAAAAATTTGACTGAGGGGCATAAGGCAGAAAAATAAACCGAGGTGAGTTTTAGAGCAAGAGTGAAAGTTTACTGGAAAGCTTTAGAGCAGGAATGAAAGGACAGAAGATACACTCGGAAGAGGCCTGAGTGAGGGATGTGAAGGACAAGTGCGGGGTTTGACCTAGAGTTAGAGTTTTACATGTCGGCATACTTCTGGGTTCTTGTGTCCCTTATCTCCTGATTTTTCCCTTGGGGTGGGTTGTTCACACGTGCAATAGCCTGCTGGCGCTTGGGATGGGAACACGCGCAGTGTGTTTACTGGAGTTGTACGCATGCTCACCTGAGGCGTTCTTCCCTCCTCCGGTGGCATGCCCTCAAAGGTCACATGCCAATTACACTGCACCATTTTGGCTGTTAGTGAACATGCTTGAACTCACTGGCTAACTCCTGAGATCTTACTCGGAAGCTGCTGATCACCAGTTTCAGGGTTTTTTTCTATCTACAGGGAAACTGTCTTTCCCTGGTGCTGGCTGCAACCAATTATTATTTTAGAGAGGCAGTGTGACAACTGCCTGACCCATCTGATGGTCGCCTGACTTTCCTGGGGGGGTGTGGGGGCCCTCTCCTGTTTTGTTCATGTCTGCCTGACTGCTACCAACTGTAAGAGAATGACTAAGGAATGAAAATGTGAATTCTAGAATCTCCTCATACTTTTAACAGTGTTTCTCAACAGGGGCGCTATCCTCCCCTATGCGGATCTATCCTGTGAATTTTAGGAAATTTAGCATCCCCCTAACCAAAGCCTACCCCAATTCCCAATTTCCAGAGGATCCTTAAGGAAATGGTTGCTCCACTGGCTTTAACTCATATGATTTCAGATATATTTGGCATGACCATTTAACATATGTTTAATTCACAACACTAACTTTCCCCATTATTTCTAATAATTAATTTCCTAATATTACTTTCTATTTTTCCCAAGGCTGTCTTGTATTCTTTCTTCCTTGCTGTTATAAAGCCAGCAACATTATGTTATATCCTAATATTTTCATGCCCCTTTTCTGTAAGTGATGATCTAGTTTTCTTCCATAAATGAAAATTCTCATACAATTTAAAAAAAAAGACCACACATCTCAGATACACACACCCAACAACATGCACTTCATACAGGTTAGGATTTCCTTTACTGAGAGCACTTACTTCTGTCTGCAGAGAGCTGCTAGCTGCCAAAAGAAGTTCAATGCTGCTAGGAGGGCAATGTGTCAAGGCAAAAGCCATGAGCTCCTGACGCGTGGCCAAGTCCTGGTAACCTTCTGATTGTCCTAACTGGCTACAAACATCCCAGCTTTTAGGATAACCTGCAAAATTGGCAATGAAAAAAAAAAATGATTCCCAAAAGATGAAGACTATTCATTGTAAGATGACAAATGCAATGGCTTCCTGTTTAGGTCTTGGGGTACCAAAGTAATATCATAGTCATTAGTGACACATTAGAAACACAAAAGAATCTAAGCTAGAAAACAAAGATTAGGGTGGTTTATTTCCAGAAAGCTCAGTGCTACTCCAGCCAAATGTTTCTGACAAACTCTGTTAAATTTTGGATTAACTTACAATAAATGCAAATAATCTACTGAGATTTGATTCTGTTAAAAAGGCGGCCATCTGAATTCAGAAGACTTGGGAGCCTGGCCCAACCCTGCTACTTAGCCTTTGTGAGAGAGCTTAAGAAAGCACCAAAAGTATCACAATACTTTTCCTACTACAAAAGGACAATAATAACACCTTCCTCTTGTGTTGTTGAAGGAATTAAGTAACATTTGTATTTGAAAGCACATGTAAACTGCGAAGTGCAAAAAAAGAGACATTATGATAGAACCCCACACAGAATCACTCACTTTATAGATGAAGACAGACATCTAAGGACAGTGACCGAATCACCCCTAAACTCCCAGCAGGGATCTTTTTCCTATCCATTATACTCTGAATTCTTAAAATACATTTTTATTCTTATTTGAAGGCATTCCAGCCTAAAAGTAGGCCTATTTGCCTAAATACAAAACTTGTAGTCCAAAATAGTTTTTTCTAAATATGTGAAGTAAAAATTAATTCAGATATTACTTTGACCAGTATAAAATTATTATAAAGCTCTCCAAATAAATAATTTAGATCAGTACATTTTCACAGAGCGCCACAGTTATCCCAAATTTAATGTTGCAAAATCACTTGGTTAATATTATGGAACACAGCTTGTTTATGAAAACAATTTGCTAATGCTGAGGTTGTAAAATATTGAGTATCTGTCTACAGTTTTAAATGTTTTCATGGAAATAAAGCCAAAGATCCTCTCTGTGACCAAACTTAAATCTGACTACCCTGAGCCCTCTTCTCAACTAGGCCTCAACCTTGGCCCCCAGCCTTGCTAGGCCTGCATCCTCCAGTTTTAGCAAGAATCCTGCTAAGTCAGTTTAGCCAGAATCCTCAAACTCTCAAGAGCTGATCAAATTACTCATCCCTCAGCCGTGATATCTGAGCATCCTGGCCAGCCTTCAGCAAGTTCCTACTAAATCATTTTAGCAATGATCCCCCTGCCCTTGCTGTCTCCTCTTAGTGATTTTCCATCCACTGACCCTTCAGTTAGCCTGTTTGCTACAAAGGCTCGGCTGTCCTTGTTGTATGCAGAGTTGAGTCCAATCTCTCTCCCCTATTGCAGTGGCCTTCATACCCATCACAATAGTCCTTGCTGTTGTTAACAAATGTCAGAATAATGTTTTCTTTAACAGTACACATGCAAAAGTTGCACAAATCACTGATGCAGAGCTCCATGAGTCATCATGAAGTGAAGTCCTGCATTTTAACCACTCCCTGTTAATGCACTGATAGTGGGTAGAAAGATGTGTTTGGGCCTTCACATATTCAAGCACAGCCATGGAAAGTTGACAATTTAGTACAGAGTCCATGATTAAAAACAAAACAAAACAAAGCTTATCACACTGAAGAATGTGTTCTTTAAATGAGGAATTATTCTACCATAAAATCTGATTATCCTGCAGAGACTTGAATCTGAATTTCAATATAAAGAATTTTAGAGGTGCAAAACACTTCCCAATTTCTCAACATTACTTTGAAAAGCACTATGCTCTCTGATATGCTTTGGATTTGTGTCCCCAACCAAACCTCATGTGAAAGGCAATCCTCAATGCTGGAGGTGAGTCTGATGGGAAGTAAGTAGATCATGGAAGCAATTTCTCATCATTTAACACCATATCCACTTGGTGCTGTTGTTGTGATAGTGAGTTCTTGTAAGATCTGCTTGTTTAAAAGTGTGTAGCCCGCCCCCCACCACCACCATGAGTGGAAGCTTCCTGAAGCCTTCCGGGAGGCAGATGCTGCCATGCTTCCTGTACAGCCTGCAGAACCAAGAGCCAATTAAACTTCTTTCCTTTATAAACTACCCAGCCTCAGATATTTCTTTATAGCAGTGTGAGAACGAACTAGTACACTATCTTTAAAAAAAAATTAAAGAATGGAAATATTGACTATCGACACAAACTGTAAACAATCTAAAAATTTAGATTTTCTCTTAGATAATAAATATAGGAAATGGCATTAAAATATTTTACAGGAAATTATTTTTAAATGATGAGCATGTTTTCAGTAGGGACTAGGAAAGCAACCAAAATCTCAAATAAAATATGTCTCAATCCATTAAAATGTTTGTATTAACATACAAGTGCATAGCACATATACTTACCAATGCTCATAAAATGCATCTCAAGCCTCAACATGGCTGGCCCACCAATCAGGTCAATCGATTTCATAACAGACCTTTTCCATTATTCATCACATAAACAGGACATGAACGAAGTGTTAAATAAGCTGCTCACCTGTGGCCATCAGCTCCTGACAATGCATATTGGCTGCTTTGTAGTCATGGAAGCAAAGTGCCTGCTCCACTAAAAGGATTAGAACCTGTCCTCGCCTTTCTTCTGGATCCTCACCTGTAAGTGCAAACAAAGGACTTAATGATTATGACAAGCAACATCAATTGACAGAAGAGCTTGTTAACACTGTCTTTCAAATTACTGCAAAAATAAAGCAGAGAGATTAAACTGATTTCAAATGATGAGAGGAAAAAGTTGCTTTGACCTTTCAATCCAGTTATAAAGCATAGAATTAGCTATCAGTCTTCTAGGAGATCAATAATTAATATTAGTTCCTAATTAAAATACACAAACCAGAAAGTCCAAAATCAGAGTAGTTTGAAGCCCTACAAAAAAGTCTTGGTATTACCAGGGTAAGGGAAAGAGAAGAAAATCTATGTTTCCAAAAGACAGCATGTTATAAAAAGGGCTTGAAAAATTAAGTCAATGGATGAAGATAATGCAGCAATAAACTTCTCATCTTAAAAATTCAATTACTATTTAGAAATTGAAATACAAACACTGTCCAGAGAACTGAAAAGATTGTTCCTTAACAAATTCTCACTGGGCTCAACTGAGATTACTGGGCCCTGTCCTTGGACATATCCTTGAGAGCCCAATTTTAGCAAAAATTCTCCTGTCAGCTGTAGCGAGAATCCCCTACTCTGGATATCTGGTCATCCCTGATATCTGATCAAATCCCTCATCCCTGCCATCAACCCCCAGATGGTATCTGGTCACCCTGGCCAGCCCTCAGGCAAGAAATTGTACCCCGTTAGGTGGTTTAACCAAAATGCCTCCTTACTCTTGATGATTCTTCTTTGTAATTTTCCATCTGCCTCCACTTAGGTCCCAACATAAGTAAAATCCAACTCAATGGAAACAATAAAATAAAACAAGTTTAACCCATCAGAAACAACCAACTATCCCCTAACTAGAGACTATCCACATTAACCAATCAAGTATTTTCTTTGCCCACACACCTTATAAAATGCTCGCATTGCACCCACTCACTGGAGCCCTAAACCACTTTCATTTTGGTGCTGCCTGATTCACGATTTGCTGTCTGCTGAAAATAAACTATTTCAAGTTTTAATGTGATAAGCTTACTTTTAACAAGCCCAATTTCTCTCTTACTGCAAAATTCCATTGCAGTAGTCCCTATACCTATAGTGCAGAGTCACTCTTAACGTTTTTTGTTTGTCTGTTTGAAGAGACAGGTCTCCCTACGTTGCCCAGGCTGGTCTTAAACTCCTGCACTCAAGCGATCCTCATGCCTCAGCCTCTCATTTAAATATGCATCAGCACCCATGGATCTCAATCACACAGACGTATGTATATCAAAATGGAGATGAAAAATATGATTGATATTATGATTTATATTATCATAAAGCAAGTCTTTTACTATCAACTTTACCCTGTGTAAACAGAATCACCATGATATAGACAGGAATGGGATATGGCTCCCCCTTCATGTGTTTTTTTCTTTTTTCTTCTCTTGTCCAACTGATCACAAAACCCACACCACTACCTTGCTGGCAATATAACCACTAACCCTGGGGCTTTCGTCACACCGAGAGAATGGCCATTCTTCTGTGCTCTCATCATGTTTAACCATGTCTTTTAAAACTTAAAGAATTCTGGGAAATGGACTTAAGAAAACCTAAATACCAAACCACGGTTGTGGAGCATCTCTCCTGAGGAACAAAAGCTGGAAAATGGATTTGCAGCCTGTTACCACCAGCCAGACCACCAAGTGACCCATTACTTAAGGTAACTATGGCCACCAAATACATTGCATACCCTACCCGCCACCTGTGCTGCCCGACCCAGACGGCATACTTTACCCAGATATCAATTCCTGCCATTTGCCTAAAAAGAACAAAAAATCCCTACTTGCTTTTTCAGGGACTCTACCGAGAGTCCTTGTGCCTCTGCCTCCCATGTGCTTGACTACAAGCCCTAAAATAAAGGCCTTGTCTGGGAAAACTGCTTGGCCATGTGTGTGTGTGGTGTGTGTGTGTGTGTGTGTGTGTGTGTGTGTTCTCTCAAACTGCTTGTCCGTGTGTGTGTGTGTGTGTGTGTGTGTGTGTGTGTGTTCTCTCTGTTGCCCAGGCTGGAGTGTGTGTTTGTGTGTGTGTGTGTGTGCGTGTGTGTGTATTTATTTATTTAGAGATGGGGTTTCTCTCTGTTGCCCAGGCTGGAGTGTGTGTGTGTGTATTTATATGTGTGTTTATTTATTTATTTAGAGATGGGGTTTCTGTCTGTTGCTCAGGCTGGGGGGGCGGCGGGGGAGGGAGGGCGTGTGTGGGGGGGTTTGTTTATTTATGTATTTATTTATTTAGGCATGGGGTTTCTCTCTGTTGCCCAGGCATGGGGGGGGAAGGGGGGGTGGAGGGAGGGGAGAAAGACAGAGAGAGACAGAGAGAGACAGAGAGAGCGAGCGAGCGCACGCATGCGTGTGTATTCATTTATTTAGAGATGGGGTTTCTCTCTGCTGCCCCAGGCTGGAATGCAGTGGCACTATCACTGCTCACTGCAGCCTCGACCTCCCAGACTCAGGCAATCCTCCCAACTCAGCCTCCAGGGTAGCTGGGACTACAGGAACATACCACCAAACCTGGCTAACTTTTTTACTTTTTGTACAGACAGGGTCTTGCTATGTTGCCCAGGTCAGTCTTGAACTCCCGGACTGAAGCAATCCGCCTCTCTTGGCCTCCCAAAATGTTGGGATTACAGGAGTGAATCACCACACTGGGCTTGTGTTAATTTTTATTACATGAGGAGCCAAACAGCCTGTCATCTGCAAGAACCACAACATTACTGTGCCAGCCAACACACTACCTACATTAAATTAAACAAAAATGTTTGACTTTTTTTCCCTTATAAAGGCTGACAGAATGAAAATAATTTGGGGCTCAAGGGATCACAGTTCTGGTACAAGTTATTTCAAAGTGAAAACATTTGAGCTACAGAAGATGCAGAAAGAAATTCTAACTGAATTTATCTTATCTGAATAAAGCAGAGTCTCCCTAAAATATAACTGCAATTAAACCCCCTCCACAAGAGTTTTCTGAGAACGCAGGTGGCATAAAGACTGTCAGTCAGTATCAAAAAGCCCAACAGAACCTTCTATACTTTCCCACTGAAGCTCTAGGCCCTCGCATCCCATCCCCCTTTTTGTTAAGGTGGTATATAAACCTTACTTCTTGCTCTTCAAGAGTTATTAGTCACTAACTGACTTCTGCATGCAAATGCAAAAAAAAATTTTGTTTTTCTCCTTTCCACTGTCAACTAATTCACAAGCTCCCAACCAACCATTTGACACAAAGCAGGTGAAGAGAAAGTTTTCCTCCCAACAGGGACTTGAAATATTTTTGCTGTGTCTTTTAAAAGTATTTTCCCCTTTGTGTGCTCTTAAATGACAAATATAAATGGGAAAAAAAACAGAGAGTAAGTTTATAGTTTCACTGACATTACTAATCTTTTATTTATCAGAGTAAGTTTCTAGAGTCTAAAAATGCACAAAACAATTCAGCTCATGGTAAAAGAAAGATCTAAAATTATTTCCCAAAAATAGATTAAAAATATTTTACATGTTATTTCTTTACCTAAAATACAGATTTTAGTTGCCCTTGCAACATATTCCTTTACTTTCCACTCTCTTAAAAATAATTTATTTCAATAGTAGGCTAACATAACATAAAAATTGTGGTGATCTTTTTAATAATCGGTATTATTTATTAAAATGTAAGCTTTTTGCAGACAGGGGTTGATTCACAGTTGGATGTACAATACGCAGCATCAAGTCAGGCACATAATAGAGAGGCTCAAAAAACTACAGTCATGATTTGCTTAACAAGGAGAATACATTCTATGAAATGTGTCATTAGACAATTCCATCTTGTGCAAATATCACAGAGTGCACTTAAATGGTAGAGCCTACCACACACCTAGGCTATAGTGTATAGCCTACTACTAGTAGGCTGCAAATCTGGACAGCACGTTTCTGTACTGAATACTATGGGCAACTGGAACACAATAGTAAGGATTTGTGTATCTAAAAATAGAAAGAGTACAGTAAAAATATTGTACAAAAGATAAAAAAAAAAAAAATGGTACCTCTACATAGGACATTTCCCATGGATGAAGTTTACAGGACTGGAAGTTGCTCTCGGTGAGTCAGTTTGTTGAGTGGTGAGTGAATGTGAAGGCCAGGGTATGACTGAACACTACTGCAGACTTTATAAACACTCTACACTGAGGCTACAGGAAATTTAGTAAAAAATATTTTTCTTTCTTCAGTAATAAGTTAACTACAGGTTACCATAACTTAAAAAAAAAAAAAAAAAACAGGCTGGGAATGGTGGCTCACACCTGTAATCCCATCATTTTGAGAGGCTGAGGCAGGCAGATAACAAGGTCAGGAGATCAAGACCATCCTGGCCAACATGGTGAAACCCCGTCTCTACCGAAAATACAAAAAATTTAGCTGGGCGTGGTGGCGCAGAATTGTTTGAATTCATGAGGCGGAGACTGCAGTGAGTGAGCTGAGATCGCGCCACAGCACTACTGCCTGGGCGACAGTGCTGCGAGACTGTCTCAAAACAAACAAACAAAAACAGAACCTCACTGTGTCGCCTAGGCTGGAGTGTAATAGCATGATCAACAGTTACACAACTCACCGTAACCTCATGAACACTTTGGCCCAAGGCAGCCATCTGTCTCAGCACCCTAAGTAACTAGGCCTTACAAGCATACCTCATCACACCCAGGACATTTTTATTTTTATTTTTTGTAGAAACAGGATTTCACTATGTTTCTCAGGTTGGTGTCCAACTCCTGGCCTCAAGTGATTCACCTGCCTCAACTTTCCAAAGTGTTGGGGTCAGAAGCCTGAGCCACCATGCCAAGACTTTTCTTTTTTGTTTTTTTTTTTTTTTTTCATTTTTTAAACTTTTCTTGTTTAATATTAAGACACAACCACACAACATTAGTCTAGCCTAACACAGGGTCCAGACATCAATATCACTTTCTTCCACCTCCACATCTTGTCCCACTGGGATGCCTTCGGGGGC